GTAATTTATTGAACGATTAAATGATTATGGTTGATCATATATTTTCTTGAAACACAAGTTAAGGTGAACAGAATCAAACTTCATACTCACTCTGGTAATTTATTGAAAAATTAAATGATTATTGGTTAATCATATATTCTCTTGGAACACAAAGTTTAAAATGAACAGAAACAAACTTCATACTCACCCTGGTTATTTATTGAATGATTAAATGATTATGGTAAATCATATATTCCCTTGAAATACAAAAATTAAACAGAATCAAACTTTACTCACGCTGGTAATTTATTGAACGATTAAATGATTACGTTAATCATACATTCTTTGAAACACGAACATTAAAGTGAAAAGAATCAAACTTCATACTCACTCTGGTAATTTATTAAAAAATTAAATGATTACGGTTAATCATACATTCTATTGGAACACAAAGTTTAAAGTGAACAGAATCAAACTTCATACTCACCCTGGTAATTTATTGAACGATTAATTGATTATGATTAATGATAAATTCTTTTGAAACACAAACGTTAAAGTGAAAAGAATCAAACTTCATACTCACTCTGGTAATTAATTAAACGATTAAATGATTATGGTTAATCATGCATTCTCTTGAAATATATACATTAAAGTGAACAAGATCCAACTTCATACTCACTCTGGTAATTTATTGAACATTAATTAATCATATATTCTCTTGGAATACAAGCATTAAAGTGGACAGAATCAAACCTAATACTCACTCTGAACGATCAAATGATTACGGTTAACCATATATTCCCTTGAAATACAAAAATTAAAGTGAACAGAATCAAACTTCATACTCACCCTGGTAATTTAATGAACAATTAAATGATTATGATTAATCATACATTCCCTTGAAACACAAAGATTAAAGTGAACAGAATCAAATTCATACTCACACTGGTAATTTATTGAACGATTAAATTATTACGGTCAATAATACAATTTCTTGAAATACAAAAGTTTAGAGTGAACAGAATAAACCTTCATACTCACTCTGGTAATTTATTGACGATTAAATAGTTATGGTTAATCATGCATTCTCTTGGAATACAACCAAAGAATCAAACTTCATACTCACTCTAGCAATTATTGAACGATCAAATAATTACGATTAATCATACATTCCTTTGAAACACGAACGTTAAAGTGAATAGCATCAAACTTAATACACACCCTGGTAATTTATTTATTAAATGATTACGGTAAATCATACATTCTTTTGAAACACAAGAGCTAAAGTGAAAGAATCAAGCTTCATACTCACCCTGGTAATTTATTGAACAATTAAATGATCACGGTTAATTATACATTCTCTTGAAACACATAAGTTACAATGAACAGAATCAAACCTCATACTCACTCTAGTAATTAAATAATTACGGTTAATCATACAGTCCTTTGAAACACGAACGTTAAAGTGTGCAGAATCAAACTTCACACTCACCCTGGTAATTTATTTATTGATCGATTAAATTGTTACGGTTAATTATATATTCTTTTGAAACACAAATGTTAAAGTGAACGGGGATCAAACCTTATACTCACGCTGGTAATTTGTCAAACGATTAAATGATTACAGTTAAACCATATAATCTCTTAAAATACAACTGTTAAAGTACCCAGAATCAGATTTCATACTCACTCTGGTAATTTATTGAACGATTAAATTATTATGGTCAATAATACAATATAAACTTCGAGTGAACAGGATCAAACTTCATACTTACTCTGGTAATTTATTGAAAGATTAAATGATTAAGGTTAATCATACATTCTCTGGAAACACAAACGGTAAAGTGAACAGGATCAAACTTCATACTCACTCTGGTAATTTATTGAACGATTAAATTATCACGGTTAATCATATAATCCCTTGAAGCACTAATATTAAACATCAAACTTCATACTCACACTGGCAATTTAATTAACGATTAAATGATTACGGTTAATCATATATTCCCTTTAAACACAAACATTAAAGTGAACAGAATTAAACTCATACTCACACTGGTAATTTATGGAACGATTAAATTATTATGGTCAATAATACAATCTCTTGAAATACAAAGTTTAAAGCGAACAGAATAAACCTTCATACTCACACTGATAATTCATTGGACGATTAAATGATACGGTTAATCATACAATACATTCTTTTGAAACACAAATGAACAGAATCAAGCTTCATACTCACTCTGGTAATTTATCGAAAATTAAATGATTAAAGTTAATAATACATTCTCTTGAAACATAAATGTCAAAGCGAATAAAAAACAAACTTCCTACTCACTCTGGTAATTTATTGGACGATTAAATGATTATAGTTAATCAGATATTCTCTTGAAACACAAACATTAAAGTGAACAGAATCAAACTTCATACTCACTCTGATAATTTATTGAACGATTAAATGATTACGGTTAATCATATAATCCTTTCAAGCACTAAAGTTAAAGAGAATCAAACTTCATACTCACACTGGTAATTTATTGAACGATTAAATGGTTACTGTTAATCATATATTCTCTTGAAACACTAGCATTAAAGTAATAGAATTAAACTTCATACTCACTCTGGTAATTTATTGAACAATTAAATGATTACTGTCAATCATACATTCTCTTGAAACACAAGTTAAAGTGAACAGATTCAAACTTTATACTCACCCTGGTAATTCATTGAGCGATTAAATAGTTATGGTTAATCATGCATTCTCTTAAAACACAAACGTTAAAGTGAACAGAATCAAACTTGATACTCACTCTAACAATTATTGAACGATTATATTATTACGGTTAATCATACATTCCTTTGAAACACAAACGTTAAAGTGAACAGAATCAAACTTCATACTCACCCTGGTAATTTATTATTGATCGATTAAATGGTTACGGTTAATTATATATTCTTTTGAAACACAAGCGTTAAAGTGAACAGGGGTCAAACTTTATACTCACGCTGGTAATTTATCAAACAATTAAATTATTACGGTTATGCCATACAATTTCTTAAAATACAACGTTAAAGTAAGCAGGATCAAATTTCATACTCACTCTGATAATTTATTAAACGATTAAATGATTACAGTCAATCTTTTGAAATACAAACTTCAAAGTGGACAGGATCAAGCTTAATACTCACTCTGATAATTTATTGAACATTAAATGACTAAGGTTAATCATACATTCTCTTGAAACACAAATGGTAAAGTGAACAGAATCAATCTTCATACTCACTCTGGTAATTTATTGAATGATTAAATGATTACGATTAATCATACATTCTTTTGAAACACAAACGTTAGAATGTACAAATTCAAACTTCATACCACGCTGGTAATTTTTTTAAACGATTAAATGATTACGATTAATCATCACATAATCTTTTGAAACACAAATGTTGAGGTAATCAGAATAAAAACTTCATACTTACACTGGTAATTTATTGACGATTAAATAATTACGGTTAATCAGACATTCTCTTGAACTCAAACGTTAAAATGAAAAGAATCAAATTTCAAACTTACTCTGGTAATTTTTTAAACGATTAAATAATTACGGTTAATCATACATTCTCTTGAAACACAAACGTTAAAGTGAACAGAATCAAACCTCATACTCACACTGGTAATTTATTGAACAATTAAATGATTACGGTTAGTCATACATTCTTTTGAAACACAAAATGAACGGAATCAAGCTTCATACTCACGCTGGTAATTTATTGAATAATTAAATGTTTAAAGTAAATAATACATTCTCTTGAAACATAATGTTAAAGCGAATAAAAAACAAACTTCCTACTTACTCTGATAATTTATTGAACGATTAAATGATTATAGTTAATCACATATTCTCTTGAAACACAAATTTTAAAGTGAACAGAATTAAACTTAATACTGACTCTAGTAATTCATTGAACGATTAAATGATTATGGTTAATCATATATATTCTCTTAAAATACAAACATTCAAGTGAACAGGATCAAACTTAATACTCACCCTGGTAATTTATTGAACGATTAAATGATTATGGTTAATTATATATTCTCTTGAAATACAAACGTTAAAGTAAACAGAATCAAATTTCATATACACCCTGGTAATTTATTGAACGATTAACGTTAAATGGTTATGGTTAATCATATATTCTCTTGAAACACAACATTAAAATGAACAGAATTAAACTTCATACTTACTCTGGTAATTATTGAATGATTAAATAATTACGGTTAAGACATTCTCTTGAACACAAACGTTAAAATGAACAGAATCAAACTTCACACTCACGCTGGTAAGTTTTTGAACGATAGTTAATCATATAATCTCTTGAAACACAAACGTTAAATTGAAAAGTATCAAACTTCATACTCACACTGATAATTTATTTAGTGAACGATTGTGAACGATTAAATGATTACGGTTAATCATACATTTTCTTGAAACATAAACGTTAATGTGAACAGAATCAAATTCATACTTACACTGGAAGCTATTCTGGTAATTTATTGAGAGATTATATGATTACGGTTAATTATTCAATATCTTGGAACACAAAGTTTAAAGTAAACAGAATCGAACTTTATACTCACCCTAGTAATTTATTGTACAATTAAATGATTAAGGTTAATCATACATTCTCTTGAAACACAAACGTTAAAGTGAATATCATACTCGGCCAACCTAAAAATAACAGAACTTCATTTACTGCTTCATTGTCAAGAAAAATATCATTATTTTAATTGTAGTTTAATACATTGTTTTTCAGACGCCCAGGAAGGAGTAATAATAGTCAATTGGGCGATTAAAATCAAAATTGCAAAGACTTTTACGGGATGCATTTTTTTAAAATAAGAAAGGTCGTCTTTTAACGGTATACTGTTTTTTTTAAAAAAAAAAGAACGAGAAAAGAAAAGATGTTCTGTAAAAATAAAAATGCATACGTTTATATAATCCCGTATTTTCAAAGCCATTTCAAAGCCATTTCAAAGCCATTTCAAAGCCATTTTCAAATATTGTATAAGCGGGCCAGGGGTTGTTCACGGTTGGGTCTGGCCACGGTGGCCGCAGGCCAGAAATATCCGAATAACTAAAACAAGAAGCATATAAACATTTTCCATTTATGGTAGGAGGTTTGATCCTTATAATTTTGACTGGTATTTTGGTATAAAAGGTGACCTTTTAATCATTACTGCATTATTACTTATAAGCGAAGTCAGCCAATTTGTGGTATAATATTAGTAAGTGTCGCAATTTGGTTCGCCGTTGATGAACAAAGCAGGTGAATATTTTTTTTGTTTAGTGAAGTATTGAAACCCAATTATATTGTACTTCTTCAATAGATCCCCAGCTATCTAAAAGTGGGCCCGCTGTATTAATTGAACTGGACGATTATTATTGAAATATCTAGTAGTATGCATACTTTTCAAAAGCAATCATACAGGTTCTATATCAATATGCTAAAATTTGACGTTAGAAATCAGAAAAAAATAAAAATAAATAAATAAATGTTACAATGAATAAAAAGTTTATTAATAAATGAATAAATATACAATAAAGTAAAAAGTTTATTAATAAATAAATGAATATTATAAAGTTTATTAATTAATAAATAAAAAATTAATATAAAGATTAGGAAAAGAAAAAAAAACGAGTTGCTTAGCCTACTCTAAAATTTTAATGATACGCAATCCAAATTCTTTATTGTACTGTATACCTAATGTGATGAAGAAATCTTTGAATTTAATACAATGATGCGAACAATGTGCACCATTATGTAAAGCTAAATGAACGCTAGAGAGTAAAAACTTGTAAATATTAAATTTTCACTACGTTAAAGCTAACTCTAAAGAATTATGATATTACATAATTAATAGCATATGCACATATGTTTTAATACAGATCTTTAAGGTTAATTTCGATGTAGTGAAACTTAAGTTTTCACTCTCTAATATACAAATGAGTGACGAAAAGGGAAAACTTGTAGCTTATATTTAACCAACCAATTAATTCGAATAAAATAAAATCAGACGAATACATTAAATAATAATAAATATCATCAGATGGAAAAATACAAATAAATAAGCGGTTTTTTGTAAATGTATATTCCTGAACTTGAATAACTCATTTTAATACATCCGATTACAATCGATATCAACAAACAAAATAACAATAAATAAATAGTATTTATATTGATATATATTCATTTATTAATCAATAAAGATCACTAGAACACGTGGTAATCAGAGCCCCACGGGAACTCTTATTAGTCATCCTAAAGTTAGCTTTAGTCATTTAATCTTGACTAAAGATACATAATTAAGCTTAGCCAATATGGCTAAGCAAAATTGGCTAAGCTCAATTATTACATTTAGGGGTATAAATAATAAACTTTGAGAGGTCTAATAAGAGTTCCCGGGGGCTATGATTACCTCATATTCGTCAGCTTCCTTATACTATCAGCTATATTAATGCGAATTAATGAGAGATTGGGTGTGAAGGCATATACAATATTTCCGCTTTAACAGATAGACTTAATATACGAATCTTCTTTAGTATAGGTGGGATATATAAATTATTACAAGATTATGATATATAAAACTTAACAGATCATACCAATTTTCCAACAAACCTTATTCTTTCTCAACAATTAATTTTCCAAAATATTAATTTTCAACAATATTTATTTGACAAAAAATGTTGTTAGAAAATAGATATTGTTAAGAAAATGATATGTTAGAAAATTTAGTATTATCAGAAAAGTAATAAATTAGCATTATTGAAAAGTGTTTGTTAGAAAATCAATAAAAAATCCAATTAGAACATAATTATTTAGCCATTTATACTATACAATTACAAAAATCAAATTTTATATTGTAAACAGAATCAAAATTATTTGTATATTGCATGTAAAATTTTTGGATTTTATATTTCCATTCGGAAAATTGCTCAAATTTTTCTCCTACCTTTCTCGTTTTTATGTTCATTTCACCAGTTCGTTCATATTTTGTAATTCCACCCGGGATTGTGTAATCTGGCCTAAATTATATATACTTTAATTTTCATATATAAAATTCAGATGGCAATTTAATGCGCATGAAACCCATCTCTATTGACACCATCGACCGGCGTCGGCGTTTCGGTCGCTTCTCAAACGGATACGTCGTGTAACCTATGAACGGCTTAGTCGGTTAGATTTGGCGAGTGGTGTGTTTATGATCGTAGGTTTTACAAGGTAGCGAAGGCCAGGAAATTATAAGGGTCAAACTTCATTACAAGCACGAACTCTGCATACTTTCTTCAGAGGGCTCGAAGCCTTTATTATATACTTTCTT